AAGAAGGTGGGAAAGAGCAGCACCTTGGGATCACACTGGGGCGGCTAGGGGTCCACACAGGCAGAGAATGTGTGCCAGGAGCAGTGAGGAGGGGGAGGGCCTGTTCCTATCCTCCACATGTGTTTAAAAAGAAACAATGCAGGTCTGGCGGGGTGGTTCACGCCTGTAGTCATAGAGCTCTGGGAGGCCAAGGAAGGTGAATTCCAGGAGCTCACGATTGGAGACCCCTCCTCGTCTATACTAAAAACAGAAAAACTGAGGTAAGAGGATCGCTTAAGCCCAAGAGTTGGAGGTTGCTGTGAGCTATGATGCCACAGCACTCTATCCAGGGTAACAGCTTGAGACTCTGTCTCAAAAAAAGAAAAAAAAAAATATATATATGGTGCTCTGGACATGACTCTCCTAAAGGATCTTAGATGTTCGATTAGGAGTTTTGCCTGGTATGGATTCCTAACCACAAGGGCTGCAGGGAGGATGGAAGGGGGGCAGTGACAGCGCTTCCTGACCCGCCCGCGCAGGCCGTGTGGCTGACACGGTGGCCCCGGGCAGGAGCGAGGGATTGACAGCGAGCCCCCCACTTCCCCACGGCCTCCGCGTCCCGGAGCGGCAGGCGGGCCAGGCGGTTGGCGCGGGGACCGGGTCTTACCGAAGGGCCCGGGGGCTGCCTTCTCGTGGTCCTCACAGTCGTCCGGCCACACCTGGCAGCTGAAGAGCGCCCAGTACCGCTTGGAGAGGGCCCCGGCCGCGCGCAGCCGCTCCCGCAGGCGCCGGAAGCCGGACCAGGCCCCGCCCGAGCCCGGCTCGTCCGTCCTCTCCCACGGCAGCGCTGCGCCGCGGCGCCCAGACGAGCCCGGGAGCGGCAGCGGCAGTAGCAGCAGCAGGAGGCAGAGCCCCAGCGGCCGCCGCGGGCCGCGAAGCATGGCCGCTCCCCGCTGCGGTCCCGGACGCTCCACCTCGCTCGCGGCTTTCGGCCCGGGGCGGGGCGGGCGTTGCCATGGCAACCACCTCAGGGTTGCCTTCCGGCCGCCGTGCACATGTGACCCGGCGGGAACCGAAACTCTGCAGTCCCCTGAGAGCATCCGGAGGCTGAGTTCAAGCCCAGGTCACACCGCTGGCTCTAGGAAGCAGCAGGGTCTGGGGCGTGATTGTGGTCGCCTTGAAATGGCCACTGTCGATCACTCCGGTATTACTTTCGGGCAGCTTCGGTGGCTCATCTGCGGCCTGTCTACTGAGGCCACCCATTTGTACCCTACCCCGCGTCTGCAGAGCAACTTCCTGCCAACCTGCCATCCCGGCCGGGGAGCAAGGGACTGTGTTGGCCGCTGGAGCCGGTAGAGAGGAAAGGCCCCGCGGAGAACTGGCGCGGCGAGGGCCCGGCGGGCCAGGGTGGCCGCCCCTCCGGGGAGAGAAACGAAACTTGGCGAGTAACCATTAGGTTTCCGCAGCTGGAAGGCCCCAGACGCGAGAGAGCAGACGGGCACCTTTCTGCAAGTATTCGGGATTTGGAAATCCCCCGAGTCATCAGTGAATCATAAGGTTTCATGTCAATGCAACCTCATTTTTTATACCTCATAAGAAAAAGGTTAGGTGCTGCGTGCCCTTTTTCTTTTTTTTTGAGACAGAGTCTCACTCTGTCGCCCTGGGTTGAGTGCTATGGCCTCATAGCTCACAGCGGCCTCAAACTCCTGGGGTCAAGTCATCTTTCTGCCTCAGCTTCCCAAGTGGCTGGGACTACAGGCACCGGCCACAACTCCCGGCTAATTTTTCTATTTTTAGTAGAAACGGCTCTTGCTCTTGGTCAGGCTGGTCTCGAACTCCCGAGCCTCCCAGAGTGCTGGGTTACAAGCAAGAGCCACCCTGCTTGGCCTATTCTATATCTTTAAAACTCCCTCACTCTTTAAGAACTAGAACTTGGGGTGGCATCTGTGGCTCAAGGAGTAGGGCGCCAGCCCCATGTGCTGGAGATGGTGGGTTCAAGCCCAGCCCCAGCCAAAAAAAACTG